ACCAGGACTTGCGATGAAGCTTCGGGGCCTTGTGGTTGGAGTTCCACCTGCAGCCCCCCGGTCACAGAAATCCGTGGGTTCCACTACCACCGCTCAACACCTACTGTAGGGTTGACAGTTTTTAAACCCAAGCTGTGGGAGGCAGCAATGGAAGCCACGCAGCAGGCAGCAGTGCGAAGACAGGGGCCCAAAGCAGCAAAAAGGAATGACTGACACCCTAAACCCCCTTAGGAGTTTGCACTGGCTGTGTACACGGAGAGCATGAAACAAACAGTTGTAGAGATCTGCAGGTTTTCCGTTTGCTACTTCTGATGGCAGAGGCAAGAACTGCAAAACCTGGTTGCTGTTAGGGAAGAAAAAACTAAGATACCACACAAAGGATCAAGATCGTTGTTAGTGACAGTTCTTTGTGCGGTAACCTAATTTTTGTTCCTTAACAGCAACCCAGAAACTGGCTACTGGAAACGTTGGTTGGTTTGGATGAGTGCGGTGCGTTTCAAGGGTGGTTCCTACATTTCCGGTCGTCGAAAAGCAAGGGCTTCGTGAAGATCTCTGGTTTGGTTACCCTTTTGCATCTGGGCTTGTCTACCCCAAACCCTAAACCCTGAACCTAAATCCCTGAAGCGAACTTGGCCCCAGTTCGTCGCGCGAAACCCTTTGTCTGCGGAAAAAAAGCCACCATGTATCAACCCTAAACCCTAAATAGAACCCTAACCCTAAACCCTAAACCCTAAACCCTGAACCCTACGCTTTGCTTAAACCCAAAAACCAAAAACCCTGTACTACTAGTTGATACTATGGGCCTGGCTGGGTGCCTTGAGCCCGGGGGATTTAGATTAGACGCCTGGTCATGGGCGGCTTGTAGTATTTAGAGATGGGATAGAAAAAGGATGTTGGGTGATGAAGATATGTATTCCTTAGCCTAATCTTAAAGTCATGTGTTCGGTTGCCTTGCGCCGACTCTGAACCGGATAAGTCGACCGTGCTCCTCAGCTCAAGTGAGTGACAGGCGAGAGGGAGGGAGGAAGAGAGACGGAGAGGGAGGGAGTGGTCCGAGTGCGCAAAGGCTGGGACGCTTTCGAGCATAGAAAAGCGACGTGCAAAAGACTACGTCTCACAGTGTGTTGCTTTAGCCTTTCGTGCATTCTGTTAGCCTCACCTCTTAGCGCGTCGCGTGTTGCACATGTGCGAATTTCGACGCGTCGGCCGTAAGGAGACTGGGCATTGGGGGGCTTTAAGGTCGATAGTCGTTCGGGGGATCAACACTCTGGTCGCAGCCTTGGGTATGGCAGCAGTCCGGGAAAGAGCGTGAGATGAGCTAGAAAGCGATGAGACTTTTTTCCACGGTCCTGGTCCCTGTGCAGGGGCCCAGACCAGGCAAGAGAAGTTGTTAAGTTTAATCAACTCTAAACCACCTAAAACCCTTTTCACTGCCCTTCCCCTAAACCCTAAACCCTAAACCCTAATCCAAAAGCCTCAAAGCATCCCTCAGCGCCCGAGCACAGCGGTGGGAGCTGCCAGCAACCCATGCTCTGTCTCTCTGCATGATGTCGGGGAGCAACCCCCGAGGTGCACCCATAGGGTTTTTTTGGCTCAGGGTTTAGGGTTGAGGGTGTTGATAGGGTTTAGGGTTTACGGTTGAAGCCTTCAGAAGGTGAAAATCTTGGGCCCTTGCACACCACACCCCCGCCCCATACGTGCGACTGAGGGACTTCTCCACATGATGATCCCTTTTCAAAGGAGGTATTCTAAACAAACCCTAAACCCTAAACTCTAAACCCTAAACCCTAAACCCCAAACCCTAAACCCTAAAGCCTAAAGCCTAAAGGCCCGGCATCCGAAAGCGGGGTACCATCATCTGGAGACTTGCCCCCAACTTGTTTTACACCTAAACCCTACACTCGAAACCCCAAACCCCAAACCCTGTTGACCCTAAACCCTTTTGACCCTTTGACGATCATATATGGGCTAAATAAATTAGAATAGGGTTTTGGGGGTTGTTATAGTGAGGACCCTACGCTAAGGGAAGTAAAATTCGCAACTAAGTAACTATTCCGACCCCTATATTACACCCTAAGCCCTAAACCCCCCCTCCCTTCATCCTCAGGCGCCAGCCTGCGAAATACAGCCTAGGCACTCGCCTGACCCAACTTGTGGGGAGGCTAGGGTTTAGGGCTTAGGGCTTAGGGCTGAGGGCTCAGGGCTCAGGGTTTAGGGCTTAGGGTTTCGGGTTTCGGGTTGAGGGTTGAGGGTTGAGGGTTGAGGGTTGAGGGTTGAGGGTTGAGGGTTGAGGGTTGAGGGTTTAGGGTTTAGGGTTTAGGGTTTAGGGTTTAGGGAGGTAGGAGGCCTAGGCCCTAGATAACCCTGAAATCCTAGCCCCTGGCATTCTACAGCCTGATCCGGCCCGACCCCCCCCCCCTCCTCCCTCCAATTTCTGGCTTGTTACGTACTGAATCCTTGTAATAGAGTTTGGGGTTTAGGGTTTAGGGTTTAGGGTTTAGGGTTTAGGGTTAGGGTTTAGGGTTTAGGGTCTAGGGTTGGGAATGACTTAACCCTCCCAGTTTTTTGCCACCTGCCTAGCTGACTTCGCCTTTGGTCTTCCGTTCCCATTTAGAGCTTAGGGTTCAGTAGAATAAGGATACTATTGTACGAAAACAGAATAGTTTACAAAGACTTCTCATAATGATGGCTCACTTGTATGGCGTTCCGACGCTCAGGCTACTAGACCCAGTAATCCTATACAAACTATTCGAGCTCAGGGTCTAGGCTTTCGGTCTGTATACGGTATGACCCCCCAAAATGTTCGGTATAACCGCCCAAAACAATAGTAGATGAATGAAGCCCGAGTATAAATAACACTAAGGCCCTGTGAGCGCCACCAAGAAGCGGCTAAAACCCCGAAAACCCTAAGCCCTTAAAAAAGACCCCAAGTCCTAAAGCCTGAACTAGAGCCTGCCAATCCTCGAGCCTGAACTAAAGCCTGACCCTTAAGAGTTACGTACTTCCTATTCTGAATACCCGGATTGAGGGCCGTATCGGCTCTTACCCTGCCACCACCCTATCAACATACACATCCTGAGAGCGACCCTGCGTAGGGAAGTCTTGCGGACACCTCCAAGAAAAGGCACAGGCGCTTCTTTTTTGTTGTTAAGGGGACTCCTGGGTGCCGCCCTTTTCGAAAAGGGGGCCAGGGGGGTGAAGGGGGGTGGGAGGAGTGACCCAAAAGGGTTTAGGGTTTAGGGTTTAGGGTTTAGGGTTTAGGGTTTAGGGTTTAGGGTTCATCCTGCAAATCGCCCTACGTGGCACCTCGGGGGTTCACTGCTACAGCTGGTTGTCTGCAGCTGAGGCAGCTCCCACCTCCATATCCCAACCCCTTAACCTCATGCAGCCCTAAACCCTAAACCCTAAACCCTAAACCCTAAAACCCTAAACCCTCAACCCTAAACCCTAAACCCGAAAGTTTCCCAAAGCTGCCTCAAAAGCACAGAGCGGGTCGGGGTGCTAAAGTAGGTGATGCGGAGGGGGGAGCTGCCACACCCTCACTGGAAGCTACGCCCACTGTTCTTCCGTACGAGAGCTACGGGCATGATGTAAGCTCTCAAGCTCACGGTGAGTGCACGAGAGTGCACGTGCCTAGCATTAGCTTGTCCGGCATCTTCGGAAGAGAAACCCCCATAGCCCGAAGGTCACAAACTCCCATTCCTGAGGCCGTTTTCCCCCTAAACCGTAAAAGCAGCCTGAAGCTTGGCAAGGGAGAGTATGCTTTAAGGCAGTTTAGGCTTTGCCGCGGGGAGGTTGGGTTAAGGGTCAAAGGGGTGTGACCTTGTGAGCACCTTAAGTGCAGACCCCTGTAGAACGACCTAGAAAGCATCCTCAAGACCCCCACTCCTACCAGTCTAATCCCCTTCGGACCCCTATGCACTAACCAAGGCACCAGTTCTCCCTCAACAGGCCCTGCCCTATCTATGGCCCTGCATCACTATCATACAGCTCAGGCAAAGGCTTACGGGTAGTGGCATCGCACGCCTTTCAAGCGGGAAACGGCATGGCCCCCCTCTTCTTGTTCAAGCCCTAACCTCTCACGAGTGACCACCCCCCCCCCCAAAACACATCCAAAAAAGCAACACTGTTGGCAAAACCAAAAACACATCAGCCGACCCACAGCGAAGCCCAAGGCACAAGGCGAAAACAGCCCCCGAAGGAGAGCCCAGGCATTCAACTTCCCAAGCCAGGATCCGTCTATGATCATGCCGCATGCGTTAGCGTTTAGGTTTGAAGGTCTAGGGCACTTTTGGCATTCCAACTTCGCTTTCAAGCGTTGTTGCTGTGGGCTTCCGGGCTTGGACACCCTGTCCCTGAAGTTACCCCCCCCCCCCCCCGACGTTCGAAGCCCCAAGCCCCGAATGCGACTAAACCACCAATCAAACTGCCTTCCGCAGCCAAAGTACTTCAACCTAAAGCGGACAAGCCAACCCCTACAGCCATGCCCCGAAAATGATACCACCAACCCTAACCAAATCCCTAATGCCCCACACATTCAGAGATTCATGGGGATATGCTCTGAATAGTGCGGCTTACCTACGACTCGTTTGGTCTTATGATTGCGGGAGCCAGGTCGGATTCCGAGGTCACCTACGAACTTAAGTTGGGCTCTTTAAGTGTAAGTTCTGACTATTTCCTGCCCAGCCCTCAGACGGCTCAAATGTCGCATCCGAGGGCCCTCAGGCCGCATGGCCGACGTGGGGCCGAGTGCACATTTACCTGGAGGAGGGTGTCGCGTTGATGGTTTCGGGGCTTTGCTCAGCCTTATGCCCCACCCAACATCCCCCCTAACCTCTAAACTCTATAGAGATCAGGGTTTCGGAAACTAGCTGAGACATCGATACGACAGGGCCCGACCTACACTGCCACTTATTCTTACCACAGGCACTATTACAAGGATTTGCCCCTTGTTCCTTTCAAGGTGCTGGTCCCGCGCCGCGCAGGACGAGCATCGCAGCTCAGTGCGCCGTCAGGAACACCTCAGGAAGGGTCGACAGCCCACTTGCATCGTGTGTGGCACGATGCTCCTATTCCAGCCTGAGTTGTAGCTGCAAGTGATTCATCAGCTGCGCGATGAAACTGTGAACGGCCACAAAGTACAACTGCCCTTTACGGGGACCAGCTGCTATCCGCCAAGAGCCTTAGGGTAACCGATGCGGTTCGGGATGTAAAGAATCAGGTGGCGCTTGCTGACATCGACGAAGGTCCGATCTTCGCCGAGAAAGCTGATCATCATGCACCATCGATCTCATCACTTGCCCTTCAGTCCCGAAGCCCCAAAAAAGGTTCGCGGTGGCAGCTCGGGCTCTCTCTTTCGACCCATCACAACCGCTTGGGGGGTTCAGGGTTCAGGGTTCAGGGTTCAGGGTTTAGGGTTTAGGGTTTAGGGTTTAGGTACCCCAAATACCCCTAAATCACCTTCAGGTGCGGCACCGTCCCGGTGTTCCCAACGGCCGTAACCCATCCAACCGTGCCGTCGTTTTTCGTCTTGCACTTCATCCGCATGAGGCCAGACCTTGGAAGCTGATGGGTTTGGGGTTTTTGGGCTTCAGGGTTTAGGGTCAGGGTTTAGGGTTTAGGGTTTAGGGTTTAGGGTTTAGGGTTTAGGGTTTAGGGCTTCAGGGTTTAGGGTCAGGGTTTATGGGTTTTGGAAGGTTCATGTCGACTCTCACACTCGCACACGGCAAGGCATGGGTAGCTTCTCGGGAGGTGTCGGTGCTCTGGCAACAGCTCCCAAAGCTCCCAAAATAACAAGCCACCCAACAGCGAACCGCACTCAATCAAAGTAGCTGTTTTTTGGGTGGGGGGGGCTTGGGGTGAAAATAGACATACCCCTGGTTCTTAGGCGGGAATCAGGGAACTAGGGCCGTATTCCCTCATTCCCTACTAAGAACCACAAAAAGCCCCACGCTGGGTCCCCCGCTTCTCGTCCTTCTGCATCCATTCTCGCAGGCCAACCAGCTCGTTAGGCTTGAGTTTCCGGTCCTCCTCGGCCTGGTGCTTCGAGCTTCTTGCCGGCTGAGTTTAGGTTAGGGGGAGGGGGGGTTAGGGTTTAGGGTTTAGGGTTTAGGTTTTAGGGTTTACGGTTTAGGGTTTAGGGTTTCGGGTTTAGGGTTTAGGGTTTAGGGCTGGGATCCCGCCTGGCCTAGCTGAACTTACGCCCCACTTCGTCTGGCGTTGATACCACCCCAAGAGAAGCTAGAATGACCTACTCCGCACCTCAGGTTTCGGTGCAGTCCTATCCTGAGGCCAAGAGCACGCAACCCTAAACTCACCTAAACTCCCTACAAAAAAGGTCCAAGATCCCCAATCTAAAGCCCACCTGATTAGATTGGGTAGTGGCGGTTGCCTACATGGATTCACAGGCTGGAAAGTGAAATGAGTTCGGCTGCTGGGGACCCTCATCATGAGCCCCAGACCATGGTACTGATGTCGAAGCCCTTGGTCAGGATGGTTTCCTGACATGCGCCGGCAAGAAGACCAAAGGGGGTTGTAGGGTGTAGGGGGTACAGAAGAAGCTTTAGGCATTCTCGGGTTTAGCTTGGTTCTTGCCACCTGCCTAGCTTCGGGGTTTGGGATCGAAGGCAAGGGATTTGCGCGACCTGCCTAGCAGCCTCACACCACACTGTTGGGTTCAGGGCCTTTTGTCCACTACTCACCCAGCGGCAAGGACAGTTCCGGGCTTAGGGTCGGGGTCTTCTGGGTTTGAAGGGCTTTGGGGGGGTTTCGCTTTGGGGGGTGTCAGGACTTTGGGGTTGGGAGGTTCATAGCTACTGGTCAACCAACATTGGTTTACAGAGACTTAGGTGAATATAAACAGATATGCCTGCTTTTGTTTCGGTCGTTGCTAAGAAAGAGCAAGCATTGCCATCCGAAACTCCAGCCCAGACTTCATCATAATCCTGGCTTCAGGGCCCTCGCGGGTCACCCTGGGCCCCAAACCCCAACCCCCAAACCCCAAACACCAAACCCCAAACCCCAAACCCCAACAAAACTTCGGGCCTGGAGCTGCAAGATGCTCAGAAACACATGTTAGGGAGGCTTCGGGGGCCTTAGGGAGTAGAGGAGAAATCCTTAGGGAACCTTGTGTTTCATAACCCCCTTGAACCCCCCTCCCCTAAGAAGCCGATAAACATGGCCGGCCCACCCTTTGCACCCTCCAGGTGTTGCCGCCGTCCGTCAGGAAGATCTGCGGGCAACTTCGGGGGACCAAGGGTGAAAAGCTTAGTGCAAACCCCCACAAACTTCAAACCTGAGCCCACAACCCAAAACCAACAAGCCAAAACAAAACCGAAAGCCAAAGATCCCAACGCAAAAGCACCCTCCTACTCCGGAAGCCAAAAGCCTTGCCCCCGAAAGCTCGCGAGACCCACCAAACCTCCTGTTCACACGTGGGTTCAGGGCTTAAGGCGTTCAGAAGTGTGTTGCATAGCGGTTATCACAACACCTGCCATAGTGTCTGATGATCGTCCCCAGAAAAGTGGCTACCATAACCCTTGAAAAGTGAACATCCGAAGTTCCCCACGGACTGAGGGCTGTGCGGCGCCCTGGTTACCTTTGATGGTGACCTTGGGCGCTGTTCTTTGAAGGCTTCTCGCCGCTGTGTAAGCCCAACACCCTCCTCGACTCTTCTCGCACCCATAAACTCCCTAAGCCCATAAACCCTAACCTTTGTGAACCCGGAGCTGTTCCGCTTGGGGGCGGCCGCCCTAAACCCAAACCCCAAACCCCTTTTTGTTCAAACCCCAAAGCCTAGCTAGATGCGGGTCAAGGAGCCCAGCCACGGGTACCATCCTTCATGGAGCGGCACCTTGCCCGTAGCAGGGTACCTGAATCCGATTGCTATCAGAGTGGAGAGCTTAGGGTTTCTTAGGGTTTGGTGTGTGGAGTTTGACGGTTTGGGTTGCGGGGTGGGTCGTTTTGGGGTTCCCTTCACGGGAATCAACGGCGCGGGGGTTGGGGGTGTATAGGGCTTAGGGATTGGGCTCCACCGTCCTTCTCAGGGGGCCTTGCACCCCCATGTGGGTCGTCCCAGGGCCCAGAGCCCCCCGAGCGAGAGATCGAGAGAGAGGGAGAGAGAGAGAGAGAGAGAGAGAAAAAAAAAAGAAAAGAAAGAGGGCCCCCGTACCACAAACCCTACAAACCCTAGAACTCTTTCTTCCTGCTGTGGCATTTCAGGGCTCGATCTGAACTCTGTGCAGCCAAAACAGCCCGTGTGGGCCAGGCTGGCTATGAAAGGGACGAGCGATGATGCAAGGCAAGAGACAGGCGGCGCTATGTTCATCGGCAGTACATTAACGAAACTGCTCAGTGGCCGATAGCGCCACCAACAGCCATGATGATCATCATCACCATCATCCCAACCACCATCGCACTCATAATCAGAAAACTGGTCAGGACCTGTCGCGATAGGAGGCTTTTGTTTTGGGGGGCTAAAGTGGTATGTGCGTATGTATACATATATTTGTTTTTATCTATTGATTTATTGATTTGTTTATATTTATATTTATATACATATTACATACTTGTATATGCTCACTTCCCAAGATCCACCTCGCATCTGCGAAAGAACATTCTGTATGTTCACCGTCTAAGTTTCTAGACTCAAGACTTTCAGGCTTCCACCGGCAACTTAGAGGGCGGAAATCTGGAATTTATGGAAACCCTTTTTGGACCCAAACTCCTGAAGTCTATGGAAACCCTAAACCCTAAACCCTGGAAACCCAGGAACTTGAAGGTTGGAATTCATGGAATTCAGAACTGCCGAAGTGTGGAAAATCAAAAGGTGGCTCTGGTATATAGTATACAATCCGGTATTATGAAAAGCTTGATCTCTTAAAACTGTAGCCGAATGATCTGATACCTACGTTAAGAACTGATTCAAGAAGTGCGGTGAACCTGCAGTGCAACTACAGCTAAACCTAGCTTTCGCCTCTTCAATTGTACTTATGACACCCTTAATTCTATCCTATAGCCGAATTCCTTATGACCCTAAACCCTTTTTTGCCACTGACCCCTAAACCCTAAAACCGAAACCCTAAACCCTAAACATCCTTAAACCCTAAACAAACCCTCAACCCTAAGCTCTACACCCCCACTTCTTCTGACCAAGAACCTCCCAAAATACCGAAACCCTAAACCCTAAACCCCAAACAAACCCTCTAAACTCTCAACCCCCACTCCTTATGCCCAAGAACCTCCCAAAATACCGAAACCCTAAACCCTAAATCCCAAACAAACCCTCTAAACTCTCAACCCCCACTCCTTATGCCCAACCTCCCAAACATCCCTCCGGGATCTGGGCCCTGCTCGCTCGGCTCCGAAAGGAGCTCCACGATGTCGCCCGCCTCGTGGGCTTGGACTATTCAGGTACTTTCTCTAGGGTGTCGGGTTCAGGGTCTAGGGCTTAAGGCTGGGATGGTTAGGGTTTCGGGTTTTCTCACACAGGCGGCTTAGGGTCTAGTTCAGGGTGTTTCGCGCGCACGCGGGTGCTAGAAGTACCCAGGCGCGCACTCCCTTGCTTTCTGATCGCGCTTAATTACGGTTGTCATGCGTGTTGACAGCGACGCGAGCTATAGGGAATGCCCTGCTCGAATGGTCCGGATCCTTGGCTGGTAAGGGGCCCGGGGGTCTGGAGTTTAGGCAGGAACGTCTAAGAGGTTACATAGGCTGTGAGAAGAGTTCAGGGGTTTCAGGTTAAGCCTTTGCCGGTGTTAAGCTGGTTCGTTCTGTGAGGCCTGTTTCGACTCTCGCACCTGCACGCGGCGGGTCAAGCTTCGGGGTTTTTTCCACAGTTGGCAGTTTAGGGCATGTGGGAGCCTTAGAGGGGTCTTCGGGTGCTTTTGGGGGCGAGGGGGTCCCCCTTATGGTCTCCCTTCCATGGCTTTGGTAGCGCGTGCATAAACCCCCCAAGACCCTAAAAATCGGCCTCCAGTTTCACCAGGGCTTGGGTGTCCTCCGACACATCAGCTTCCTTGGTGATCATGGTCTCCTTGGTCACCTGGTCAAAGCGGGAGTTTAGGAGGTTGCAGCGGTTACGGGAGCTATTCTTAGGGGCTACTGCAGTATATCGGGGCTTTGGAAGATGTTGGGTTATGTAGGGCAGTCAGTAACTAGGAAAATTTGGAGTAAGGGCCCCTTCTTAGTCCCCTGTTGGGCTGAAGGGAAGAGGCCGGGGAGGTGGGAGTGGTCTAAGCCTCAGGGCCTCAGATGAATCACTACAAACAAGAACGCAGCGCCAAGCACACCTCAACTCTGCAGCCCTCAACTGGCTTTGGCTGGACTGGGTGTGTGATTTTCGGTCCAGGGCTGAACGTCCAATCGCCTTCTTCAGCGTTCGGACGACGGTCAGCATATGCTCCTGGCTCGCATGCAAACAATCGTGTGCGATTGGCTGAACGCAACAGGTGTTTCAGAACCGTCCCCAGAAGGGCTCAGGGTTTCGGGCGGAAGGCGGAGGCGTGAAAGGACCAGGGCTTCTACGTTTCAGAAGGCAACCCAGCACTCAACCCAACAAGAAGTGCGCGCACGTGCGGGTCACAGAACTTGGAGCCCGCAAGAACGGGAAGCCCTAAACCCTTTCTCCTTCTAAACCCTAGCCCCTGAGCTAAACCCTGAACCCGACACCCGGTCTCGGAGTCCCATGGCCGCGCCGATCCTGGGTCAGAAAGCCCTCCTTCTCGTCATCCAGCTGGTCGAAGAACCTGCCTGCATCGACTCAGGAATCAGGGCCCTGGTAACCGACCCCTTCTCTTTCAGCGAGGCGAAGCCAAGACACCCACTCTAACCCTAAACCCTAAACCCTAAATCCTAAACCCTAAACCCTAAACCCTAAACCCTAAACCCTAAACCCTAAACCCTAAACCGCCTGAACCCGAAACCGCCTAAACCCAAAGGCTGAGGGCCCTGGCTCAATTCCTCCTTGTCCGGAACTGGAGCATCCTCCTCGGCTTCTGCAAGCTTACGGGGTTTTTCCCCAACAGGGTTTAGGGTTTAGGGTTTAGGGTTTAGGGTTTAGGGTTTAGGGTTTAGGGTTTAGGGTTTAGGGTTTAGGGTTTAGGGTTTAGGGTTTAGGGTTTAGGGTTTAGGGTTCAGTTTAGGTTGTATGTAAACCCTACTATTCAAACAGGGCGCATGCTTCTCACAGCTGTCGAAGAAGGCGAGGAAATTCTCCTGCGCAAACCCTCCATGGTCGGAGAAGCTTGGGGCCTTCAAGGTTCGGATCTGTGGTTCTAGGATTCTGGTGGTTTAGGCCTGTTTCTTGTTGCCACCCCCCCAACTGACGCAAAGCCGCGGTTTTAGCCGCCCGCCTAGCTGACATCGTACATGGCACGTGGGATGTCAAATCAAACAAGCCCAGCCCGACCTCACAGCGAGAAAGGTTTAGGGCTTAAGTCCCAGGCTTCGGGTCTGGGACTGCAGGTTGGGAGCGGCCCTCTGATCTCCGAATCTGCACATCAGCCGGGATTGAAACAGCTCGGATCCTGAAAACGGTTTTGGGAGTTGTTTGTTGCAACTGGCCTCAAGGCCGTCCGCCTGGACAACCCTGTACAGGACGGGTGAAGCTGCCCCCAAGCACGAAGACACGAAGCCAAACAGAACCGTTTACAGTAGGGTTTCGGGCATTTTGGGGCCTAGGGGCTTGAAGGCAGGGCCTTAGGGCCTAGGGTTTACAGGGCTTGACTCAATTTACGGGACGCCCCTCCTCTTCCCCCTCCGCCCTTGTCTATGCCCACCGGGAAAACAAGACTACAACCAGCCAGTCTCGGGGTCTCAGTGGCTTAGGATAAGAAGAACCCCCCAGCAAAACCGGCGGGCCCCCTGCCCCCCCCCCTCCCCCCAAAAAAGAAGAGTGAAAGGCCCCTGCGGCCTTCGATACGGTCTCTGCATCACCTGCAATCGCCTTCACCAAGTCCTCTGTGGTCCTTGGCGTTGCGCATGGAGGTTTTAACAGCGCAGCTGCAGAGACACGTTCGCCGAATCGGCAAGGTCTTTCTTTGATCCAGACGGGACCCAGGCCCTGCAAAGCATGCCCTTTGCAGGTTCCTCCAGACCGTCGTTGCCCCCGTCATGTCACCTGCCTTGAAGCAAGTTGAACCTCAAGAGCTCAAGAGACGACTGTCCCCCAAAGCATTGTACCCACTTCATGATCCCCGCCCCCTGGATCTTCTAGCTGCACAGGCCAAGACCTCCATCTGCCCAGGACGTCCTGCCCCGGAGAAGCACGTCCCAACCCTCAGAGAGCAGACTCTCATGCCTCGGGGGCTTTTGAGCCCATCTGGAACTGGGGGTCCCCACAGCTCCTTCACCTGCTGGTGATGCTTCAGCACGGCCTGGGCCGCATTTCTCAGAGAGCAAGCAATGATGTCCTAAACCCGAAAAACCTAGGGCCGCAAGAGCCAACAACCGTCAAAGTTAGGTCCCTGGGTCCACGGCCACGGTGCTCTTCTGACAGTTGGCCACCTCTTGCGCCTCCTGGGGGTGTCAGACAGTCAGACACAGCATGTGGAGGGGTTTGGGGTTTGGGATGGTGAGGGTTCACCCTCGCTTCGCGATTCCCGCACAGACGTAAACCCTGATGAAATCAAGCCCCAAAATCCGATCAAGACTTAACCCTGAACCCCAAGCCTAAAAACCATGAACCCCGGATCCACCCCAAGCCCTGAACCCCATTGAACCCTGAACCCGCAACGCGACTTGAAGCTTCCTACCGGCTGCGTGTTCTATGGGAGGAAAAGCCTAGCCTTGGCTATCCTTGGCTTCCCTGGCAATGATCCGGCGTAGAGTCTTGTTTGCAACCCGTCTAGCAAGGGCTTTTGTTTAGGCGATACTTCATAAACGTCTCGGCAGCTTGACTCCAAACGCTTGCTTTCACGCGAGTCGCCCCCAAGTGAGGAGCGCCTTCAGCCGCGCCTCGCCTTCAGCTCTGCGATGCCTGGGTTGCGAGGTGTAAGGCAAGGTTCCTGTGCAGTTCGAGACATCTCGTCACCTTGTTCGTGACGAGAATGAGTGAGTTTTTTGTGTTAGGATGGTGCCGCCGGGGTTTCTGTTTTCTTTTTTTGTTTTCCGCTCTCTCTCACGCACACGCTCTTTGGTTTTTAGGATCTATTTGTGTTTGCCGCGCTCGCCTACTGAGCAGCACTGCTTCTCCCGAGTCTACTAGGTACTGACACATGAGCTGTCTCGCCTGGGTTTGAGGCGAATTGGCACCAGAACCCAGGTCGCCAAAGTCCCAGCTTTGTTGCTTAAAGGGTTCACTGAGCGAAGGGTACCACCGATTACCCAACAGCACCAGCAAGGCATCCACTTCTTGAGTAATTGTCCGAATACCCTGCTGCTGAAGGAGCAATGCAGTCCAACAGAAGAAACTGTAGCACAACCAGATTGCTTACTCTATCCAGTACAGCAAGTTTAGGCTTGAAAGGGGGCCCGCCGAAACCCTGAACTCGAAACTCTAAACCTCACCTCCTTCGAAGCGCCTGGCCAAGTCCGGGAAGCGCCGAAAGCCCCAAATTACTGTACTGCGAGATGCACTCGGGAAGAGCCCACCGACATCCCTCGACCGTCTTCTCCGCTGCCGTATGAGGGAAGTCCCTTTTCTAGCAGCACTCTGGTGATGAAACCTGAATTCTCAACCCCCGCCGAAGGTGCTTGAGCGTCGCGTCGTGGATTCGCCGCTCGTAGCCCGAGCATTTGCCATCCTCAGCAGGCTCTGTAGCTTCTTAGCGTCAAGGGCAGTTCACTAAACTCCAAAATCCAAAACCCTTTTTTGGATACCGGACCAGGCCCCCTCGAAAATTCCCTAAACCCCAAACCCTAAACCCTAAACCCTTTTGCATCCAGGCCTCTTCGAACACTGCCGGGCAAGTCACACCGACTAAGACACTGGGACACTGAGGCGGAGGCAAGTTACAGCACTGGCTGACTGTCACTCACCCACGCAAGAACTAATGTCTAAACCCTAAACCCTGAAACCCTGACACCCTGAAACCCTGAAACCCTGAAACCCTGAAACCCTGAAATTCCCGCTCCGGGAGCCCCGGCCAGCGACTTGAACTCGCTGCCGAGCCAGGCCTTCAGATCTGCCTCCACGCCTCGGGAGTTTGGGGGGGTTTACGACCATAGGGGACCCCCCAATATAGATATAGATATAGATATAGATATGGATATAGATATAGATATAGAGATAGATATAGATATAAGGCCCCCAATAAGACTCCAATAAGGTACCAGTTATTTCGGAAAACCGGCGCCATGTAGGGTAGGGCTCTAAATTGCACAGAATGTCGGCTTCGAGTCCTGTTTTGGCTTGATTTTTTTGCGAGGTGGCTTTGGGGTTTTGAGGGTTCCTTGTTCTTTTTGTTGCCTCCCACTTGGCTGCGCGTCCACTGCGTAGCATGGGGGGTTCAGGGTGCAGCCTCTTGGGTTCGGGTTCTGAGAGGCTTGGTGTTTAGGGTATAAGGTATTTAGGGTTTAGGGATGTTTTTTGTGTTTAGGGTTTCCCGGATGTTGGGGTGTAGGGCTCTCGAAGACCCAGAACACACAAATGCTGAGAGAGCGTGGCTCCTAGCCAAGGTCGGCACCTTCCCTCATCTCGCCGGCCTCTCCATGCAACACTTAGCGTTTAGGGTTTACTCGGCGCTATCTCTGAGTCTGAGCAACTGAGCGTTTAGGGTTTAGGGTTCTGGTTTCGGGTTTCGGGTTTTTTTCTTGCTACCCGCCTAGCCGACTGAAAGTCGCACTGCAGCGAACCACACACGATACTGCGCTAGATAGAAAAGCCCTCCAGGAGGTTCAAGGAGGGCTAGCAGCAGGTTTTAAAGGTACAATCAAAGACCCAACCCAAACTGATCACTCTTCGGGGGCTCAGGATTCAGGGCTTTGGGCAGGCGGTTCGTGGCTTAGGCCGGCGCAACCCACCCCGGAAAACGCTGCCCATCACCATGCTTCGCCAGTCGTGGGAAGCTTGCCGGTGTGAATTCTAAACTCCAACATCCTAAGCTCTAGCTAACATATTGCAGATAGGCGAGCTTAAACTTTCCTTTATCGCAACCCAGAACAGAATCTGCTGGGGCTGCCGGCACCCGTGCGGACGGCTGCGACCCCTTCTTGGGCAGCCTTGATGAGGGATGCAGCCTGCGGGCGTTCAGGGCTGATCGCTCCATCCATGAAGCTTTGGTAGGGGTCCAAGCCAAAGTTGCTTGCCAACCCGACATGTCTCCATGCTGAACCGACCCCAGGCCTCGTTAGCTCTGCAACCCAGAACCGCCCTCCCTCCCTCCCTCCCACTCCCTCCCGCATTCCCTTGCTGCTCATTTTCAGCCGCCGGCGCACGGCGGCGCTTGCGCTGTGGCCGCTGTGGCTGGCTCCTGCCCGGCAGGTGCGCGCGGGGCTTGACCTCGCGGATGAGGTCTCATGGAGAGGCTCAGGGTTTGGGAGCTCAAGGGCAACCTGCAACTCTGCTTGCCACGAGGCTCTCTGAGCAAGCGCGGACGGGCATGAAGTCAGGCGTTTCATCTTTTCATACCGGGCGCCGCATGTGCTGGAAGAATGTCGAAAGTTTCCTGCTACAGACGTCTCTCTCTTGCGCTCTCAGCTCTGCTGTACGCGAACCATCCGCTCATAGACAGCCCGGTTCTTCTCGTCTGCCTCCTTCTGCCGAAGTCGGACCTTGTCGAGTTCCCGCTTAATCTCCCCATTCTCCGGGTCCACCTGGGATGCCCTTCGCAAGTCCTCGAAAGCTTCCTCCAGCTGGGAGATCTCCCCGCTGACATCAGAAAGGCCGATGCGAGCTTTGGCCCGTCGGAAGAGTGCCTTCACGACGAGCGGGTCGTTCGGCAAGGCGCCCAGGCCCTTCTGAGAGTGCTTGCCCACCAGGCCGAGGAAGACTTCATCTGCAACAGCAATTGCACCCTGCCACTCGCCCATGGCGAGAAGTACCTGACAAACGTTCAGTTTCAGGGTTGCCTCGGCCTTGACCGGCTCTGTGCGATCTCGCGGGCGAACGCCACCAGCCAACATGGTGGACGCCTCTTGATCGGCGAATTCCTTCAGGTTCTGCTTCTTAAGCAGCGGCTCCAGGTATGCCAGCGCCTTGTTGTACTTCTCAAGGGCCTGCTTGTACTGGTTATTCCGAAAGTGTTCGTTGCCAATCTCACGGATGCGCTCCTGCGCAAAGAGCAGCTCGGAAGGCTCGCTCCTGATAGAGAAATCCTGCGGGTGCGTCGGGAAGGCGTCTCCATCTTTTGGCTGCGGCACCGCAATCTGGTCCTCGGTGATCTCACCGGAGCTTTCGATGATCACGTCGACCATGGGCCGGCCTCCCCAGTGCGTCTTGACGCTTCTTTCTGCATAGGATGAGGTCTTGCGGTCCGTAGGCAGACCTTCGATGAGACGAAGCACCTCCATTCCACGAACCACCCGACCGATGATCTGGTTGAAGCCGTCTAAGTGGTCAGCCTCATTCAATGTGATCATGAAAGTGCAACTGTTGGTGTTCGCACCATGGTTGCCCACTGCTACCAGGCCGGGCCTGTCAAACGAGGTATTTGGCAGGACGAGCCTCTCGTCAGGCAAGTAGGACCCCCAACAAGAGTACTCGTTGGGAATGGATGCCTGCACGCAGTACTTGGGCAAGATGTAGTCCAGCGTACGCCCCTGGTAACAAAGCCGCTTTCCACCCACGCCGTTGCCCCGCTCTCCGGTGCAGAGAAGCCGGAAGTTCTCGCAAAGCTTGGGCGCATGAGCGACCTGGTCCAACTCGATGACTACCCTGCCCAAGTATCGATTCTCGGGGATCTTCGCACCGGCATCTAGCATCTCCTGCTCGTAACATTTGAGGTTGGAGATATCCACGGAGAAATCAAGAAAGCAATGGCAATGCCTGTCACGCTGCTGAAGGCGCACGACGCCCTCGTCGAGCTCCGAGAGTGCCTTCTGTGACAAGCCTTGGTACTTCTGAGCCGCCTCGGTCTGCCAGATCGGCTCTTCGTCACTGTCTTCGATGTTGTTGAACTTCGAGTAGTCAACCATGGCCCGGCTGCTTCCGGCAGGACCGGGGACCCATTCAAGGACGCACGAGGGCTGCAAAGTATATGTGTAAGCTTCTATGCGTGCTAAGTGCGACGTTGTCTTTGGAGCCTGCATCGGCATTAGCAGCCTGCCGGAAAAAAACTTATGCTCAAGGTCTTCAAACATGCACCCCACACCCAACCTAAGGATTGCGAGCTGCCTCAGTTTTCCGTCGGTTCTGACTGCTGGTGCCAAAATGGCCGTGAGGTCGGCGGAAACTGCACGCCACACTCTAGCAGACTCAAGCACGTCCAGCTCCATCCAGGTCTCTCTGTTCTCTTCTGCGTCTCGTTCTTCTTATAGTTGTTCTTGTTCCTATTCTTCCTTGATACTTCGGCCATGAATGAATGCTTCTTACTGTTTGTTCTATTGTTAGTCTTCTTCATTTCAATCGAAGTTTTGCCTCTGCTTCTTCGTCTTCTTCTGCTCCGGCATGGACTTTGCTGCCTCAGCCTTGCATGCTTGTCTTTATACTGGGGCCGATGCCGATTACAGAGCAATGTGACGCTCCATTGAGACGCCTTTCGGTTGCGTGATCCGCCTTCTAAACCCTAAACCCTTTTGCAACAGGCTTGCCACCTCGCCCGGAGTAAGTGCCACTCGATTAAAGCAGCTTCACTGCTATCCAAGAGCACGCATTCGCCGATCGACGGCATCTGAAACCCTAAACCCTAAACCCTAAACCCTAAACCCTGTGTTGCAAACCAAGCGACTCTTTTCCGGCGGTGGCCAACCAGGGAAGCGGCGGCACCTTCGCTCGGACTGATTCGATATGGGGGGTGGCTTCCAGTGTCTGCACTGTACCTGGAAGCCTGGTAGAAAAAAAGCGTTTGGGGCAAAAGGCGTGAAGGAACAACCCTCCTGACCCCCTTTTCTGTGGACCCGCCCATGTATCCATATGAACCTATAAAACTACGGAGTTGTAGACTCCCTCTACATCTGGGGAAGTTCCCAAGACTCTGGTGCCGAATCCAGGAAACATCTCACTCGCCAGGTGACCGGCACTGCTTGTGGGCTGGGCGCCAGACTCCTCTGCCTGCCATTCCCCAAGGAGGCCACGACCCCATAGCTACTAAGCAACTAGGGCTAGGATACACAGGGAGGGGAGGGAGGGAGGGAGGGAGGGAGGTTGATTGATTGATTCAATGTGTCCGATGAATGCACAGAGGGGGGTCCTGATTGTGAGCTGAAACTAACTCAGCAAGTTTGGCTCAGCTAGGTCTGGTCGCCCTAGCGGTGATTCAAGCTATCCCTTCCTTGAGGGAACGATCAAGGATACTGAAGCCCTCGAATACCAGCTCAAAAGCCGCAGATTCAAGTACACAAAGCTGGGAGGCCTCTCCAAAGGACTGACCCAACTCAAGACAGCTCTCGCAACTTGATCTCTACCGAAAAGGGGACCCACAAACCGGACGATAAAAATCCGGAAAAAAAAATGAACACTCGGAGCCTCATGAGCCGATGCGGTAGCATTCCCCCGCTTCGGCCTCTTCACCTCCCGATCTGTTGTTCGGGAAGGGCCCCCCACTTGGGGGTGGGCTCAACATCCGTCTCTCTCTGAAAAAAAAAACGCATCCCCTTTTTTTCATTGAATTTGGGGCATTCCAAACTGGTTCCCATGACATCCTGGGAAAGAGCCCAGTTGAAGTCTTCCTACGCACGGGGCCCAAGTAGTTTTGGACCTCGCATAAATAGACATGGCTTGTCCTCACTGTGCCAAAGTGGGTCCGTGACTCAGAGCAACAGCCATTTGGTGTGGGGAACAAGGGGCGGTTTTTGGGTGCTGTTCATTTGGTAAGATGATGTGGGCGCGGCGTTGCCCCGCTGTTCACTCCGATGCAAAACTTGGGACACTTCTCGGGCGCTTGTGCTTCGGGCTTTCGGCACATTGTCAGGCTACGCACACTGCTAAAACCACTCTCAAGACATGAACATCCAGAGACACTTCTCACAGAAAACCGCCTTCTTCGTCCCCTTGCTGCCGAGGCGGGACCGTTTGGGCGCTACCGCCACCGGCGCTTCTGGGATGGCATCGCCACGTAGGCCTTAGGGGTTTGGGGTTGGGGTTTTAGGGTTCCTGCGTTGCCACCTCCCGGTCGACCCATCTAAACTTCGACGCTTTGGAATCCCATGCACTCACCCAACTACCAAAAGGGAGTTGAGGGATTGCAGAGGGTTTACGGCCGTTGAAAGCCCGACACGCGGTGCTGCACAGCTCCAGCAAGAAAGAACTCCTGAGCTCCGACTTGATATGGACGCCCGAAACCCTTAAAACCCAAAGCCCTCAAAGCCAAAAGCCCCATTTGCATCCACCTTTCATATTGCGCCCTGAGCTGATGCCGGCCCTCAACCAACGTTGGACGTCTAGCCCTTTTGACCCTTTTAATCTAGCCCAACTTTAACCCTAAGGATCAAGGAAGTTTCCAGTCTTGGGCCTCTTGATTCCTGCGAGAGGCGTTTTCGGTGGTTTCGTGGATTGCAGAACCCTGGCTCATCGTTGGTATCTCTGAGGAGATTCATTGGGAACTCAGCCCCCAGGGTGTCGGGAAGAGCTGTTGCAGCTGATGCTAGGCCAGCGGCGAAGCAAGTGAATCTCGCAGCTTCCAACGCCTGCTCGCCTGAAATCCTGAGCTTCTGCAAGGAAGATGGTGGGCTTGGGAGATCCGATCCATCGGGGCCTTTCACGCTTCAGCCCGGAAATGTGCTCCGTGCTCTGGCATGGGATCGTGTGAACTGAAGTGTGCTCTGGCACTCCCAGTCGCTGGATGCAACTCGCTGGGCGCGAGCGCCACGCGCGCGAAGCAGCGGTCGGCCAGGGCGAAGAAGCGGCCCTCCCCCTTGGCCTGGCCCTTCGGGGTTTCAGGCTGCATCGCTCACATGCCCACACTTGGCACTTTCGGCATTCTTAGGGCGTTTCCGATGCTCACCTGCATGGGACGAGGCCAATAAACCACAAGTCCTAAACAAACGGAAATACCTGGGCCCAAGTTCCCTACAGGAGTTTCGTCATCTGGCTTGGGTGTATCTGGCTGTGGGGCCATGCTGAGCCCGAAAACGTCACAAAGCTCAAAACACCACGAACACTCAGCTTCCCAAAGAAACCCAGAAAGACCTCAAATGGCGGGGGCTTCATTCCTGGTGCACTTGATGCGAGTTGAGCCCCAATGTGCCTCGTGAAATCGCCTCATGTTGCTGATGATGACCACCTCATGGTGGGCCAATGCAGGTTCGGCTTGAGGGCACCAAAGGTTTCGGGTTGAGGTTTTGGGGCTGAGGCCTGAGGATCCTTTCTCCGTTTCGGGGTTTGATTCTTTTCAAGAAGATCTTCGCCTGGTCTACATGTGAGCCTGTGTGTTGCAACAAGATCCCCAGAGAAATCCCTGAGGCCTCCGGACACGGAAATCTGGCAGGCCCAGGGCGAGGTGGTCGCGCAGCGTTGAAAATAGTCTAACCCAAAAAAGAAACCTGTAAAAAACCCAAGTAAACCCCAACAAAGCCCTACAAAACCATATAAAGTCTTATAAAAAGCCCTATAAGCCCGAAGAGCCCCTAAGGGCCCCCCTAAGAGAGCCGTGCCACCGACTGCGGCCGCGCAAGCCTCAGCAGGGTGTCCAGGAGCTGGCGGCTCAGGGCCTCTTTGGCCGATGCGTAGATCACCTTTCGGGGGCTCAGCTTGAAACTGCGTTGGGGGGGGGGGGGGGGTTAGGGGGGGTTTAGGGGGGGATTCATCCGTTTCTTCCCTAGGTGCAGCACCAGCCACAGCTGTCCGACGCTGCTACAGTTTTCCATATCATTCTTGAAAGGGTTGTACACTGGGATGTAAGGTGCCCAATTACAGCGGCCTCCGCATGAATACTCGTGTCCGGCTATTCAATCGCTGGAGTGCGCAACATGCTTCATTGATAGCGGCGTCTGCGAATATGTACATATTCTTTTTGGTCCCAGACCTTGTGATACTTCAAGCTTAGACGAACGTCCCACAAGCGCTTAGACAGCCAGAGTCCATCTTGAGCAGCATCATAATCATGATCATCTTTCTCGCCATCACCATTGGTATGCTCATCGGCGTCATAACCGTCAACATCAAAATCCATTGTCATAGTCGTCATCATCATCATCATCATCGCCGTCGATAACCGCCATCTTCGTCAACAGCATGATCTGGATCATCATCACCAGCGGCAGCAACAACACCACCGCCACCACCACCACCACCGCCGCCGCCACCACCATCACCTGCCTCCTGGCGCCTCATTGTCATCAGGAGCAACAGCATCAGCAGCATTGTCCGAGAAAATTGCGAGGCTTTCAACTTTCGCTTGCGCTACGACAGCGTTTTCCTGGTCTCCGCTCGTACCTAGTCTCCGCTTGTTCAAAGGAGGCAACGGCGCTTCGGGCATCCTTCAGGAGATACATGTGTAGTGGAGACACAAGGGTCAAGAACGATGACAGGATGACAAACTCTGACGAACCATGCTCACCGACATGTTTACGACATGTCTTCGGCACGCAGAGCCACGCCAACACGAAAGAAAAGGACGACCGTTCTATCGCGAACGCGGCCAAGTTTAGTTGCCGCCGGCCTCGCGCCTCCAGCGGTAAAACTAGTTTACTTGTAGAAGTCAGATTGGCATCGAGGATCAACAAGTTATGGAGAAGCTTCGATTTCGGGCACAAAAAGCACAACCTGCACAGCCAGCGGCCTGTTCGTCACTTTCGGTGCTTACGTGTTCTGAGAACGAAGTTGTTGATTGCTTGCGCAGACGGGGGGATGCAGGGCCCCAAAGAACATGCGTCGACAGATTCTTCCGCTTTCAGGGCTTGGGGGTGTGCAAAGAGGCCTGGGAGCGGAAGGACTTGTCCACGCCCGGGTCCCGCGTTGCTGCTAGGGTTTTCCAAGGCTTGCCAGGGCCCCAAGGAACATGCGTCGACAGATTCTTCCGCTTTCACTGCTGCTCCTTGGGACAGCGGGCCTTAAACCTATGCTTCAAGGGTGTCTAGGGTTTAGGGTTTAACGTTTCGGGTTTAGGCCGTCAGAGCGTCAAGTGTTTATACTCTGAGCCAGCGAGCGATCAGGCCGAGCAAACAGGAAGACGCATTTCTTTATCGCTGTATGTGCCGCGCCCTGCTGTCGTGGTAGGTTGTGGTGAGAGAAGCCTGTTTCGATCATGGTTGGCAAGTCTTGGAAAACCCTAGCAGCAACACGGGACCCTGGCGTGGACAAGCTCTTTCGCTCTCATCCCTGATGGGAGTGACGCAGGGCATTGACGGCAAAAATAGAAGACGGCTCAAAAAGATGGCTTCAACCCAAAGAGTCAAAGAAGTTCGAGCCGACGCCACGGCCAGGGAGCAGAGTTTATCGAGACCCTAGAAAATGTTTCGTGGTATTCATGAGGAGGAATGTTTAATCATTGTGTTTTTGGATCTGTTGTGGTAGGACCCCCCTGTGGCTTGCGCACGTGTGCGCACGTTTCCGCTGCACATGCCAGTCGTGGATCTCTGACAATCGCAGCATGATGACAACAATGCTGCGATCCAACCAAGGCTTAGAAGTCCTGGCTTGAGGCGGTGAAAGCGACAGCGAAAACATAACACACATGGTGAGATTGACACTTGCCTGCACCTGAAGCAAAAGGTTCACAACACGCCGCCAAGGCACATCAGCGGCCAGCAAAAAGTCCGGGCGCTCAGCGAGGCCGACTTTGGCCAGAGGATCCTGCAAGACGCAAATCGTTGGGGGCTTAGGGTCTCTCTACAGCTGTACTTGCTGGCTCTTGATCTGGAACTCGGGAAGTAGGCAACTTGGATCCCGCTATATACACCTTTACGGGGCCACCATACGCCATACTCCCCTCAGAACCACCAGAGCTTCATATGTTAATAATCCCCTTCGTGTGTTTATGCACAAACTAAGATGTTGATCAATAAGCTTAAAGAACAAATTTTTACAAAAATAAAGAATCCCCATAGGGGGCTAAACATTCTACGGGGACCCCAATTCCCTAATGTTCGGGGAGCCTCTAGATATGCAGGCTGTGGGATGGGAGGTCCTCTAGATTTGGGTCCCTGCTGGGGATGGTGTTCTGATGCATACATGTGTGAATGTGAATGTCTATATATATATATATATATATATATATATATATATTTTTCTTTATTTGTTTATTTATTTGTTCATATATACATATGTGTATATATATATATATATATTTTTAAGTTATTTGTGTATAGTTAAGTACAACAAAGGTACTTAAGACAAGGAAAGACGCACAACGGGCACGCCTATTTTCCTTGAGCCAAAATACAATCAGTCATCCGAATCTGCTCTCCTAACCCTACTTGGTATGTACAGCTAAACGGTGGTTTGGGGCCAGTTTAGTTAACTCCCCCCTTTAGGAGACAGAACGGTGAGACTGGACTAGCAGATTGAGGGCAGGTTGAAACCTGCGCTCAGTAGTGTTGCGCGGTCTGAAGGACTCAAGCGCTCGGCATTTCTGATCAGGAATGCTATGGCAACGATTCGTTCTGAAGCCTCACATCCTGTCAGGACTGTGCAGTGGCGTGCTCTGGGATTGAAGAGTGCAGGGTTACACAACATGTGACCCCATAGGCTGTCGTCGTTTGGACATTGGACAGTCCCTTCCTCATCTTCTACCCACAATATGGGTCCACTTGTTGGATTTAACGCTACAAGGAGGTTCTTTGAGCCTTCTGCATTGTTGGAGTCTCGGTGGAGCCCCGCGACTACACCTTGCTGCACGATTATGCTTGAGAACTTGTGTGATGGCATATAACGTCGAAAGAATCGACATATCAACGCCGTTGCATATTGAAATTTGTGTGTGTTTGTCTGCAGGCCAAACACTCCTCCTAAGACAAATGCGCCCGCAGAAAATACATGCGAGTCGTGCCCCGGTGCCCCCCTCTTATCAGGACCATGAGGTAACAGCGTCAGTAGCTGCACCAGATGCTGACAAGTCGGGACCTTTGGGCAACTGCCTGCGAAGACTTCTGCGGCAAGATTTGCCTCTGCAAGTGCGGCGACGGCAGTTTCCAGGTGGGGTCCATCGCTGGATGCTGTCAAGCCAAACTGTGCGAGAGTATGTGGCCATTCTGCAGGTGGAATGACTTTTGTTAGGCCATTAGCTATCTGAGATTCGCTCTTGCAGTACACGGCAGTGACTTGTGGCGACTCTAGCTGTTCAGACATTGATGCAATGTTGACCCTGTGGACTCGATTGCAGTGTCTCAGCTTCGCCGAATAGCCTGTAGCCAGGACTTTGAGCAAGGTCTCGTTGTCTTGATGGAATACGACGTCGATAGCACGACCGAGGAGATGCTCCATCATGACCTGAATGTTCAAGGCCTCACCAAACATGGCGGAAGCCATTGCTATGGCCTCAGCCTCGGGAGTGCTTCTTGCAACACTCGTCTGTTTCTTAGATGCCCACCACAGCGGAAAGCGGAAATCTGTTGACCCTATAGTCATGTAGATCCCGCTCGTCGATTTTGCACTATGCGGACAAGAGGCGAAATCACTGTCAGTGAAGATGTGGATCTGGGGAGCTTCGTGATGGTTCACAGTAGCAGCTAAACATAAGCCTGTTGTACCGTGAAGATACGAAATCAGGCGAAGTAACTGCTTGTCTTCCCATTTAGTCCACGCGGCCACTCGTGACGCTAACCGACCGATTATGAAACACAGATCAGGGCGAGCCAACCGACCCAGCCAAAGTGCTTTCATAAGTACCTTTGCAGCTACATGGCTCAGTGTGCCGGGTTGCTGCAGGTCCTCATCTGACATTAACGCCTCGGACAAACTTGGGGTTGTGACGTTACGGAGCTTTGCCTTTGGGACATCAGCAAGCTCGCAGTACGCCTCGACGACCTGCTCTGCGAAAGCAGACATATCAAGCACAAGAGTTGTGAAGTCACTACCTCGTTGGATTCGGTGACCTCTGCCAAGGATCCGTGCATTCGAGGCTTCGATGTAACGTTCGTCTTCCAGCTTGATATGCGCTCTCAGCCTTTTCCAAAACTGTGCATGAAGATGCTTCGCTCCCGACAACGTTAGGTCATCTACATACACGTTAAGTAGCAGGGTATGGGAACCCATTTGAAAGATGAAGTTTGAAGGAAACAAATCCATCTCAATGCCACCAAAGGAAGTGAGAACAGAGGCTAGGTGTTTCTGCCATAGTTTGCCAGCAAGCGGATGGCCATATAAGCTTCGCTTCAACCTTACCACCAACTTCGACCCTGATGGGTACGCTTTGTGCCATGTGTCCAACCACAGCTCCTCGGGGAGGATAACCCATGTGTCGGGCTCTCCTGCCTCAGCGAGGTCAGCTTGAAGAAATGCCTGAATGGCATCTGCAAGGCTCACTGCGTTTCCATCTTGGCAGCCGAAAAACAATGCGATGTTAAGGGCAACCAAGGAAGTTGGTGTGGTAGCCACGTCTTCAAAAAGAACATGGTTTCCGAACTGGTCAAAAATGCAGTCCCCCCTGTACACGATTCTCCCTTTGAACTTGTGTTCATGCTCAGGGAGTTCGAAATGTTTTATCCCACATAATGTGAGAAGCTCTGCAATTTTGAGTTTACGGTTTTGCCGTTTTGCATCGGCACGCAAGGAAGACAAAAGACAGACTGTCAAATCATCCCACGTTCCGTTAGAACGTAACCCTTCTGCCTCCTTCTTCACGGCTGCAACTCCGCGCGGGTCTGCTTTCCATTCCCGCTTTGTTAAGTTCTTCGTGACCATGGAGGGGATGTGGCGATGGTAGCGTTGCGGATACCACGCTTCGACGATGTTGTGAGCGAGCTCTCGTGGGTATGCTTCAGTCTGCTTTGTTTGTGAGCCTTCGGCGGCCTCGTGCTGGTGGCTACCGTCACATTGCAGTTGTCCAAGAAATTGAACAAGTCGCAGATCATTAGTGGCTACGCTCCAGGGCTTGCGGATTGGATGCTCTCGGCCCTTCACTCCAGCCATGCAGCCATCAAAAGACACTTTGTGTAGACCATGTTCATCCTGAAATTCTTTCCATTCAGGGAGATCCCACCAGCCGGACCCTTTGGGCCACTCGACTGCGATCCTTCCATGATTTGCGATGGCAGTTGCGAGTACCTTGCGGGCATACAAGAACATAAGCTTGCTCTTCTCTTGGCGATTCCGAAGACCCTTTTCGTACTTCGCCCCATGCCTATGGACGTTCATGTTCTGCCACGGACTGAACTCGGTGCACGGCAATGAGAGCCTCACATCACAACCTGGCGATGCTTCGACCTGACCTTGAACTTGTTTGACATGTTCTTCGTTGGACAAATCAATCATGCTTCGGCATAAGCGGATACTGTTGATGCCAATTTCGGATGCAGCTTGCGAAAGCTCTGAACTGTCGCCACACGCATATTCGAACAACACATCCTTGCCTATGAGCGTTTGCACCTTTCTTTGGCGGACTCTTTCCCTGTTGGCATCGACAAAGACTTGCGTCACACCGAGCTCGACCTTCGCAACAAGACCTTCTACAGCGGGCTCACTCGAAGGGTGGAGACCAACGCCTTCGGGGAGCTCAGCTGGAGGAACTGGCTCAGGGGGCTTGGACGTCAACGCAATCCTATCAGCCTTTATCAGGGCATCGAATCTTGCTCGGCATTTAGGACTATGCTTCACGGAATCGAAAGTGCATGCTTTGCATCCTGGTGTGGCACCGAACTTAAGAATGCGTTCAAGCGTAATGTACTCTGCGCGCCTTCGAGGAGGATCAGCAGGGGACAGTGAGCTGAATGGTATGTCCAGCGCTGTGATAGCCTCAAGTTTGGGATCCTGGAACTCGCGAAGAGCAAGATCCGCCGCGGCCTTTAGCGGGAAGGTCTCAGTCTCTGGGACATGCACTTCCGCATATGGCACGGGGATCATGTCCCTACACCCAATCGACTTGGACTTGACGGCTTCATAGTCTAGCACCCAGATCACGTCACGATACACAAATCCGTGCTCAAACCTCCAACCTGCAAATAGTCCGGGAGCAGTTGTAGCTTCGAACTTATGCCTGCGGCTGGGGTCATGGATCCTGTAATGCACCAACTGTCCCAAGGGAAGCCTTGGGCCTTCGAATGGGGAACCAGTTGCAACCTCGAAACGCGACTTGTCTTTGCCCTGCCACGGTACAACTGTCAAAGTCTGCGCGGCAAACTGCACGGACACATGCCACAGATCTGGAACCACATGGAACCCAGCAGCCAAATGCACCGCGCGAGTCGATTCCTCGAGAGTTCTTATCTCTCTCTCAAGTTGGGCGTTGTGTGGAAATCTGTTTTCTAGGGTCGCTTCATGCACCCATCCTATTTGTGAGACGGCAGCTATTAACTCCTTTGCATCATCAGCCTTACACAACACGTTCGGGAGGTGCTTGTATCGGGCGCCTACAAAGGTAAGGAGGTTCTGAGCTGCTCTCTCAGCTGTGCGCGCACAGACAAAAGCTCGCAGTGCACCACTATATTCATCCCTGATGACATGGACTGCATGCTCACGCTTCGAAGGGATTATATAGTCTGTTGCAATCCTCTCGCCAAACTGTTCAACAGGAGGCAAGTCACCTCTGTCTTCGAGAGGCTCTGCACGCTTCTTGGTGACTCTTTGTCGATACATGCGGCTTCGCTGACATATCTCACAGTAGGGATTCTTAGGGATATGCGTCAACTTGTGTGCCA